AGTTAACTAGCATTGATCGAACTGAAGTGTGTAATGCAACCACGTGGATCAATTTGCTACATATTACGCCTATTATTATACACTGCATACTTATCAATACACATTGTCTTTCACCTCTCATATGCCATTGACCACCATTCACCATGGGGCAACAGTACCACGAGGAAGTAGTTACATGAACTTGCCACCCCGAAAAATATGCCCTGCAGTTTGATCATACGGGCAACGCATTTGAAAATCTTCAGTTGCTGTATTGTTTAGGACTTTAAAGGCAAAATTATAGAAGCCAAGGAGTTGGGGGCTTAAGAAAAGAAATTGATTAACTGACCCGGAAATTGGTTATAATTCCCCTGAAAGGAAATGACTGCAACCATCAGTGCACGTGAGAAAGTTGCACAGTTGGGAGTGGTTCTGGAGCATTCTCGGAAGACGTTGCTCAATTATTACAATTTAAATTACACTGACATCACTGTTATAATAAAATTATCCTCTAAATTTCAATAAATAGTAGAGACTGAGGGTTGTCCTAGAATCCAGTGTAAAAGTTCACTGTGGTAAGGACAGGTGATTTCAATGCTCGGATTAATTATGTACCCATTTCGACGTTTATCAAAACATTTGAGGCATATCAGCTATTCTGCTCATCTTGAAATTGTGTTGAGGAGGCTTCTGTCAAGACACATTTCTGCATCACACAGTGGAAAGATGTCGACATCTCGAGTGTTGTCCGATACTTTTACCTGGTAACGAACTTTTGTATTCGTTTAGATTTAGTGGATTCTACTAGAAAATATTAGAAGTTACTTTGGGAGTAACGAACGAAGTAGGAGAGTTGTCAAGAAAAAAATCACTTATTGCAAAACGCAGCAGAACTCTTTGACAAAAGGCAAATCGATAATACTGTTATGTGACGTAAAGAAACATCCGAATACATACGCATGTACATATGAAAGAAATACAGAAATGTATGCAAGAAAATAAAATCTCAACTACCACTTCAATAATCTGAGTTGGTGAAATTCTTTACGCTACAGAATAAACAAAATTAATGATATAAACCAACTCTATGAACATGTGAATGAATTTGTACGTTGAATCCCTATTATGTTCACTTCCTTCGAGCTACGAACTGAAATCTGCCAGTTCAATAGCCTGGATATTCCGACGCGCTGGAATCTCCGCGTGGGGGCTACAGGCGAAGCCGGGCCGCGTTCGGGAGGCGCGGGCGAGGCGGTGTGCCTCACCTCTGCGCCGGCGCGGGCGTCGCCGCCGAGGCACTGGCGAGGGACGGGCGCGCGGCGCGGCGCGCGGGCGACGGCGCCGGGCGAGGGCACGAGGCGGCCCGGCAGCGGTGGCGGCGTGCAGGGGCTGTCTGGAAGCGGGCGACGGCCTGCGAGGACGCGGGCGAGGGCGAGGAGCTCCCGGCGGCAGGGCGGCTGATGCTGCGCCCTCCGCCCGCGCGGCGCGGCCGCCCGCTCCGCCCTTCGCGGCCCGGCCCGCCTCCGGCCAGCGCGTCGCTCCGCGGCCCGCCGCGCCGACCGCCGCCGCCGTCCCGGCGCGCGCCGCCGCCCGCGCCCGCGCGCGCGCCCCTCGCGCCTGACACGGGCGACAGGCACAGGCTGGAGATGGAGATGAAGCCCTTCCGCTCAGCGTCATGTCGATCTTCCCCAGGGAAGGGATGTCGAGGGATTCGCGGCCGGCTCCAGGGTTGGCGGTCCTGCGGGCGCGGGCACGCGCTCGGCCGCGGCGGCGGCGTCGCGCTCGCCGCCCGCGGCCCGCCGCCCGCGGGCCACGTGCCAGGGCGGGTGCGCGGGCGACCGGCCCACGTCCACCCCCGCGCCCGCCCCCGCCAGCCGCAGACGGGGCACCTTGGCCGCGCCGTCCTTTGCCACCCACGTCATGGGCGCGCGGGCGCTATCGTCGCCCCCATAGCGCGCGACTCGCGGAACTTGGCCACGGGGAGCGCGCCGGGTGCGACGCGCCGCTGCTGCTGGATGTGCCACACTGCGGCTTCTGGGTTCCATTCGCCCGGCGCGGGCGCAGCGGCGAAGGTGACGTCAGGGTTGACGTCAGCGCCGCTAGCGCTCAGTCCGTGCTGCGGCCTTTTATGGTCCTGCGCTCCAGACTGGATTCTCGACGTTAACGACAGTGGCGCCTTCTAACGGCCGGGCATTGCCATTATTACTACTATAATGCAGAAGTGTATTATCAGCTCATATTCTCTTGAACCTACATGCCAGAGGCGTGGAGGGTTTATCTTGTTGAAAGGACTTTCATATCAAATCGTTAGATTCTTTTTAGATGCAAAATAATTTATATTTAACGGGAGCGAATATTTCTGATTTCAATTTTTGCCAACATCGCTCATGACTATTATTTATTCTTAATTCAACCAATCTTAGTTAAGGAGTGGAGGATAGGTATTCCGAGACTCAAGAAAAAATACGCGTACAATACTATTTTTAAATTATTTGTTTCTTACGAAGGTACAAAAGAAGAGAAAGGTGTGTAATCGGGCGCAAAAAAGGCGAATTTTCATAAGAAAAAACCTTATTGCAGGGCCCTGGTACCGAAAAAGTGGATGCTAAATGTAGGGGGAAAAATACTCCAATCCGTAGTGCAGCCAGCGTTCATGGTTTGTGGATCTTTGATAACGAAAAATCGTTTGACGGCAAAACATGTCTGTGTGTCGGTCTGTGAATTGATATTCCTCAATCGATCTGAATGAACTCCAGGCTTTGGGAGTTTCAAACGAAATTTTGATTTTCGAGGGTACTTTACATGAAACCTCGAACACATTTTCTAAATTTTCTCAAAAATTGCACCAATTTTTTTAATCAAACTGTTTTCGGATAGCGTAAAAGGCGCTTAACATAATGATGCTAGACTCATGTTTGTTGAAATCTCAGATTTATTGAAAATTCCAAAAGTGCTACATTTTGGGACGTCTTCCTACAACAATAAAATTAAAGATAAAGATTTTTTTCCTTAATGAAATATGTTTCTTAAAGACGGATCTTTAAATAAGTTCACGATCAGTTTTTCGAAAATATGAGTATATTACGAAATACGGGCAATTTAAAAAAAAACATATTTTTTCTCCAAAACCGCTCCAAGTTTTTCTTCAATTTTTCCCCCTACGGATAGAAGAACGGAATGCTTAAAAGAATGGTGTGGGTCTCATTTTCGTTGAACTTTGAATTTTCAAAAATTGCAAATTTACAAATAATGTTAGAAAGTATGTACTGTTGGAACACCCCTATAGACTCCAGCCCATAGACAACCGTACGTATAGGTGCTGTGTGCCCCAGCTATGGCCTCATCTAAAATGCAACGTTAGAAGTGGTGCATCAGCCTTATCACTTTTTATTTAACCGTGCACTTGACGTAAATCAGCTGTTCACGGTTTCATCCAATCGGGAGCTTGATCGTTCCCATATGTAGTGACTCCCACTTTAGTGACATATAAGCTCCCGATTGGATGCTAATTTACATGAAATGCACGGTTAAATAAATCCTAGTATACGGTTGTTGTCCCATGCCTAATTCACAAGACTACCAAAAATGTGAAAACAATCACGAGCACCTGGAAAAATAACCATCTGCTGATGCATGCGGAAGAAACGACAGCCACTCCCCACCAGCTCGTGCTGAAGCATGAGCACGTGCACTTGTTGCAATCGGTTCACGTAATAATCTTGGATCTATTTAACGAGCAAGGGAAGTAAAGACCGAATTTTTTCTGTATCGGTAAGAATCTAATACGATTTTTTTCCAGCCTCTCCTAAATTGAAATGGTAAATTTGCAAAATCTTGGTATATTGCCCGACATGTTTTCGAATAATTCAATCTGCATGAGAAAGTGTGTCTTATTTTCTTGTCTACAGTCGGCCGTGGAGAAACGCAACGTAGAGTAGAAGTGAATAAAAATCGTTGCCTAGATTTTGTAACAAGATCCGCGTTACGAGATTGCGCTGCTTCCGGTTCGATGCCCGGCGATTGCGAATAAATGCGTTTTGCAAAATATGCAAGTCAAAATTCAGTGATATAAGAACATACGCGTTCTACATCCAATCACAGAAAAGGATGATAAGTATGCTCTAAGCAAAAACTTCCTATACTTGGAAACTTGCCGCTATTGTTAACGTTCCGCCGACGTTACTCGCAAAACTGCAGAGTGAGTTCGCAGTTCATAATTCGGATCACACGACCATCGAACGAAGCGATTTTGAAGTAAATTCGGTCAAAGAATGTGAAATAACAGTTACAGAATCCGAGGACCCAAACGAGGGCGGGACAAGGCAAAAATCTGGTGACACAGGACTTGTTAGGGGCCGCCACACGCAAAACTTGAAGAGGGGTCTAAAAAAAATCAAAATGTCGCAATTCGGGAGAATGAGCAGACATGCAATGATGGAGGGTATTGACAAAAAACATGATTTTTAAGGGATAGGAAAATGTTAGCTCAGGCAAGAGTTATAACCTTTTGAACATTAACTCAGGGCTGACAGCAATTCCGATAACTTTTCTTCACTGAACATGAGGAAGATACAGAAGATAAAACATTGGATTCTAATTACATCCTTAAAATACATAACGCTGTCCTAGTTTTTCTGTTATTGAAAGTCCTAACAGAATTTCTAGTTTGATCAGAAGTTTTTGCTTGGATTTTTGGGATATGAGAAGATACTTGTGTTCTAGCAGAAGCTTTTTCATATGTAATATCACCTCACCATCAGTAATTGCAGCTCTTGAAAATTTTCAAATTATATTGCCATAATTTAAAAAATCAGTGAACTCCCTTGGTAGTTAAAAGATAAGAGTGGCTTCTTTCTTTACACACATTTCCACTGAAAGAAATCCTCCCTTTATGTGATCATAAGATGACTTTTTTAATTTCTAAAATGTTGACAATCATTTCTTGTTCAGTCAAACTTAAGTTCCCAACAAATTGAAAAAAATAAAATCAATTCCATCTCTTATATATGGTGGGCAGATATATTTATTCTCTCTACATGAATAAAAACTTGCCAATATTTGACTTTATTTGGATAAGTTTTAGTGGTTTAGATCTCTAGTCCCTTGCACCTACCAACCAAGAGAATTCAAATTGCCCTTCACTTTAAATATGTAAAATTTGTTGAAGTCTTAATCACACTGGTGCAAATGCAAACTACAACACAACACACCTACATCCCCTTATTGTCTTCATAACTAGCTTTAGTTTGTTACATCCATAATCTACAAAATGCTATCTTTGTAGACCTTCATTTACAATTTTGTTGATTGGGTGTTACAAATTAAGATATGTGAAGACTAATTCAATAGTAAATCAAGACAAGACTAACATATTTAGAGAACTGGAAACAACGCTCTTCCTGTATTCAAGTAAATGCAGTAACGGAAATTGAAGTTGTCATTTTTGTTTACGTGAATTAAGTTACCTCTAAATTATACCCAAAGTAAAATAGGTGTATTCAAGAGTCAAATGTTTATCTACAAGCATTTTAGAAGACACCCAACATTTGAGAGCTGCAATATAAGTATAGACGACATGTCCCCTCCCACTTAAATAAAAATTCTATTGAAGATTTGACATCTTATAATTTACCACAGCAATAAAAAAAATTACAATTTATCCAAGCATTCAACAAAAAAATATTGCACTTTTACAATTACCACATGAATAATTGAGCTATTTAGGAAGAAAAACCTACTCACTCTCCATCTTCAGCAAGCATCTTTTTACTTGATAAAATCTGTTACAGTTGAAGTTTTCAAACAGAGGAATTTGGCAACCAGTTTGAAGCGGTGAACTTATGTTCTATTAAAAAATTTCGAAAAGGCTAACATTGTTTGTAGCTTTATTAACAAGGGAGGGTGAAGCTACAAATTACAGCTAACGATCACTATGACAAATGTACAAATGCATTCCATACACTTAAATAACTTTAATGTTTCAATAAGACAGTCTTTCATCCGTTTCTAACAAGTATAAACAGATACACTTTTTGGGTGTCGCTGCACTGAACTTTGTACACAAAATGAGTCTCTTTATTTCTATTGCCTAAAACCCATTTTAAGACTGGAAGGAGATAAGAAACTCTGCCACAATCTTCTTCAGTTTGGCATCAGCATCTTCTGTGATCTTGCCCTCTTTGGCAATGCTCTCCAGCAGAGGTTTCTGAGTGGCCCTGCAGCAAGACATTATATTTAGAAAAGAAACTAATAGTATAACTTTACATACATCGTTATTTTACATACTTAATGTGCTGCAAGAACTCCCTCTCAAATGAGGTAATCTTTGCGGGATCCAACTTGTCCAGGTGACCTCTGACTCCGCAGTAAATGACAGCAACTTGTTCCTCAATGGCCATAGGCACTACAAAAAAATTTTGGAAGTATTCACCACAAATTTTACAACCAAATATTTTAGGTTAGAATCTTCAGTTTTGAGTTCACCACTCACCATATTGGCCTTGCTTCAGCAATTCTGTCAGACGCACACCACGGTTCAGCAGTTGTTGAGTGGCAGCATCCAAATCAGAGCCAAACTGGGCAAAGGCAGCTACCTCACGGTATTGAGCCAACTCCAGTTTCATGGAACCAGCCACCTTAAGAAACATAAATAGAACATTCCTCAAAATATGTAAGCAGTCTCAAAGCATTCGTACAAAGCAAAAATCCTCTTTATTACCTGCTTCATGGCCCTGGTCTGGGCAGCAGACCCTACTCGAGATACAGATAGACCTACATTGATGGCTGGTCGGATACCTTTGTAGAATAACTCAGTTTCCAAGAAGATTTGACCATCAGTGATGGAAATTACATTGGTTGGAATGTAAGCAGATACATCACCAGCCTGCAAGAGAAAATAATTACAATGTTCAATGTTCAATGGTAAATGCTGATTGACATTGCTATACAACCTAATTTTCCATACCCACCTGAGTCTCAATGACAGGCAAGGCAGTGAGAGAGCCTCCACCATTAGTTTCGTTCATCTTGGCAGCACGCTCCAACAATCGGGAGTGCAGGTAAAACACATCTCCTGGGTAAGCCTCACGGCCAGGAGGTCGACGCAGCAGCAGGGACATCTTAACAAATAAAATCAATGTTGTGAAGAAAATCATTCAGCTCTGATTTCAGAATATAACTGCCATAAATGGTATTACCACACCAATATTTTTTTCTTTAATCAAGTAACAACTATTCTATGAAAGACTACCAAAAATGTATTTTGTAGTTATTCTTAGCCCTAAATATAAAACAAATGTATCTTGTTTTGCAACCACTTCAACTCCCTAAGCTTCAATGAGTCAATACTGCAAACACATTTATGTTCACATAATAGGATTCCATTATTTCCCAGAAAATTAAAATAAAATATATGATGTCAACAGAAATAACAATTTATATAATTATTCAAAGCAACATTTTTGCATGCCCTATTTAAATGAATCCCATTGATTCTTAAAATTGACATTAAGCTGTAAAATTTGTAAGTACAATTATACCTGACGGTAGGCAACAGCCTGTTTAGACAAGTCGTCATAGATGATCAATGCATGTTTGCCATTATCACGGAAGAACTCTCCCATAGCACAGCCTGAATAGGGAGCCAAGTACTGCAAGGGAGCAGCATCAGAGGCAGTAGCTGACACGATGATAGAGTAGTTCATAGCACCTGAACAGATAAAAATTTGGTTGTGATCACATGCAAAAAAGTAAAATCTTAACCAAATGAAATAATTTAGAAAATAACCCATTTTACAACTACTTTGTACAAGTCCAGCCTCATGTTACGTACAAAGAATGTACTAATGTCATCAAAAATATTCAAATTCCACTAAACAATAATTATCCAAATTTTGAAATAAATACATTCACAATGTTTACTTCTTTCTACGTCTAACACTGGAAGGGCTTAATGTTTTCAGTGATGAGGCTGTATTATAATTCAAGTTGATTTTATTGTAAGTTAAATAGTAATAATTTCACATTACTGAAGGAGTATAATTTTAAGGGATCGACATCTATTGAGCAATGAGTAGGGGTCAGAATATAAAGAATTTTTTTTTCAACTTTTTCTGAACTCCTGAGTGGATTGTTGATTAACAATTTATACACACTACATATTTAAGCATAGAAAAATTTATTTACAGTGTTCAGTCATATTTACACTTGCACACTCTATAACACTCGTTTAGCACCATTCAATGAAACCTTCAAATTGCAAGATCCTTACTACTCCTTAATATTACATTTAGTGGATGTGAACTTCATTCTAATTACGAGCAAATCCTTTGTCATAATGCTGCGGCACCGAGTGTGAGAATCGTGTGAGCGGCCACAACATCATGCGAGTAGAGCAGTAACAATGCTTTCCCCCCAATGCTGTCCATGCCTTAGAAATTTAAATTCAAATGTAGGTTGCAAGATATTCTTTATTGACACCAACCTGTATCAGTAAGTCTCTTCACAATCTGGGCAACGGTTGATCTTTTTTGGCCAATAGCAACATAAATACAGTACAGTTTCTTCTTTTCATCTTCACCATCATTAAAGCGCTTCTGGTTAATAATGGTATCAATTGCCAACGCAGTCTTTCCTGTCTGTCTGTCACCAATGATCAGTTCTCGCTGGCCTCTGCCAATGGGCACCAGAGAGTCCACAGCTTTGATTCCGGTCTGCATGGGCTCCCGCACAGAAATGCGAGGGATGATTCCAGGTGCCTTGACACCAACTCGTGCCCTGCGCCACAACACAACATTTACTCACGATTGTGACAAATAGAGTGATTTTAGGTATTTAATCTTGGAAAGGCAATGGTCTAACATGGTGCATCTAGTACAGAATCAATGCCATTTTTACCACTTAATATCATTTGATAAAATTATACTAAAAACAATAAATGACAGGATGTC